ACTCATATTCTAAGAGTTGGCTGACCTCATTACAATGCCTACAGTTAGTATTTCACCATTCTGTCTGATTGCAACGATTAGGACTGGCTTACATCATTCACAACATACAGAAACCAGTCCTGAACCTTGCTGCTGTTTACTGCAACACTCACCGTTATATAGTCCTCTGTTAATTGGAATGAGTGGAATGGTTATTGCTATAGCTCCGCTCACCAGAAAGAAGTTACGACGGACTGTGGATGGAAGGAATCAGAAGGCTTAATGCAGAGAGATTTTAACGCAGACAAAAGCTGACAGTTCAAATTCAGTAAAACATCACTCTACCACAACCATGTGACAAGTGATTGGACAGTGGACTGTTGACTGTAGTGTGTGGTTCCATTCAGAATCACGATGCTGGCCAGGAATAAGATGTGGGGGAGCTCCCAGTTAGCAGACAACATATGCATTGTAAAAATACCAGGCAATGACCATAAAGAGTAATTTCAGAGATTCCCCACTGAGCATCATTCATGTAGTTATCACCGACTGCTCCACTACTGTGCCCAAGGAACCCTGGATTAATCCCTGTAACCCCGTGGTTCTGTAGGAATTCTTTGATGAGAGGTAGGTTTTGCTGCTAAGCCAGCAATTGTTGCCCATCCCTAATTGCCCCTGAACTCATGGCCCTCTAGGCCATTGACACAATAGGACTTCCTTTCCAAAAGACATTAACGAAGCAGACTTTAAAAAAGAAATCAGGTTTATAAAATCATGAGGGGCATGGATAGGGTGAATTGCCAAGGTCTTTTCCCCAGGGTAGGGGAGTCCAAAACTAGAGGGGCATAGGTTTAAGGTGAGAGGGGAAAGATTTAAAAGGGACCCAAGGGGCAACTTTTTCACACAGAGGGTGGTGCATGTATGGAATGAGCTGCTAGAGGAAGTGGTGGAGGCTGGTACAATTACAGCATTTAAAAGGCATCTGGATGGGTATATGAATAAGAAGGGTTTAGAGGGATAGGGGCCAAATGCCGGCAAATGGGACTAGATTTATCTAGAATATCTGGTCAGCATGGACGAGTTGGACTGAAAGGTCTGTTTCCATGCTGTACAGCTCTATGACTGTATGACTTGCCAAGCTCTTTCCCAGGAGTCTACATCATTGCTGTGGGTCTGGAGTCACATGTAGACCAAGCCGAGTAAGGATGGCAGACTTCTCTCCCTAAAGGGCATTAGTGAACCAGATGGGTCTTTACAACAACAAAAACGGACATTGATGGTGAAACTCCGCGGGTCTGGTAGCATCTGAGGGGAGAATCCAGAGTTAACATTTCGGGTCGAACCAAATTGAAACGTTAGCTCTGCTTTCTTCCAACAGCTGCTGCCAGGCCTGCTGAGTCTCACCATCAGTTTCTGTTTTTGTTTCAGATTTCCAGCATCTGCAGTTCTTGTTTTATTTTCAGGTCTTTGCAATAAATGCAATAATTGACATGGTCACCATTACTCAGATTTGATTAATGTCTGAGATCATTTCTTCATCAAATTGAATCTCCCAGAAGCCCTCATTTGTACAGCCCGCAGACATTAGCCTGGGGCTCTGGATTACTAATCCAGTGATATTAATGCTACAGCACCAACTCCCTCGTTGTGTGCACTGCAGTCCCTTTCAGCAATCTTACTGTTTCTGACCATCCTTGTGTTCCTATTAAACCTCCAAAATAGTTCCCTTGGTATTGACTTTCCTTGCAAGTTTCTTTGAATTTTCGTCCTTGCCTTTTTGTAGTTCTTCCTTTCTGCTATTTCACCTTTTCTGTCTTTTACATTCTCTTCTCTCATTCCCCAGCATCTGAGCAGTTTTGCCTGCATCACCTTTTAGTTTAAGATTCAATCATGGCTGTGGATTTTTTGTTTGGAGAGTGGAATATCCATGCCTGAGGGGTATAAATGGTTTCTGTGTGCAACACTTTTCTCCTGTCATTTTATCCATTAGCAGGCTTGATTTGATTTGATTTGTTGTAGTCACATGTTCCTAAGTACAGTGAACAGTCTTGTTTTGTGAGCAGTACAGGCAGATCACAGCAAACATGAACATACATCATAGGGTGCTTAGAGCGAGACGTACAGGGTTACACTGCACAGGAGGGTCTGCAAAGCAAGATCCACATCAGATTTGAAATTAGAGAGGTCCATTAATCAGTCTAATAACATCAGGGAAGGAGCTGTTCTTGAACCTGTTGGTGTATCTTCTGTATCTACTGCCTGATGGAAGAGGTTGGAAGGGATTATAACCGGGGTGGGAGGGGTCCTTGACGATGGTGGCTGCCTTCCTGAGGCAGTGGGAAGTGTAGATGGGGTTTATCCAGTTTACCACAAACAATCTCTGTTTCATCTCATCAATGTTAAATTTACATTAATCTAGAATCTGAGAGGCTATTTTGCATTTCGTCCTATCGAGCGCTACGTTGAACTTGATCATGTTATGATCGCTATTAGTTAAGCTGTTAATTATTGTCAGCCTAACTTATACATTGTACAATCTAAACTGGCATGCAGTCTTATTGGTTAGGGGACATACCATCCTGAACACACTGAAGAAATTCACTAACTTTCTGACATGCGCTAGTCTGTATGAAACTTAAAATCCTCCACTGTATCCTGTCTGCCTGTTGCTACGTGCCCTGCTTTCTCAAGGTCTTTAGGCACATGCAGCAAATAAAACTCATGTCCTGAATTAATTTAAAAACTCCCAAGTTCTGGTCTCTGCTTAACAGCCCAACATGCCTTGTGTTGGTGAGAAACGGGATATCTGGAAAAACACCATCACAAATGAAAGGTTATTGTTGAATCTTACCTTTCTTGATCACAAACGGTCTTTTCTCTTGACTGTCAGGTTTCAGGAAATAGAAGAGAACGAAAGAGACATTTGGTAAAATTAAGAAAAATGCAAGTCCTTCAATCATTCTGTACGCTACAGGATAACCTGGAAAAGGACAAAAGGACGTGTGAGATGTAGATGACTGTAACAGAAGAAAACCTGGTCTTTAGGATTAACCTGAAGTCTCCACTTGCCTCAGAGTCAGATGATTATGATTTAAGGTCCAAATATTAGATATAATCTTGAGTGAGTCCTTAGCCACATTCCCTGACTGCTGGGACTAACAGTTTGGGTCAGCTGATAAACTGGCAGCGTCGATGGCTGTCAGACACTATCAGATAATAAAGCTAAAGTCATCACAGTCCCAAACCACTACAGGGCTGCTCTATCATTTAATACTTCTTTTAAATTCATTCACTGGCTGAGGGCGGCATTTACTGCCCCATCCCTAATTGCCCGGGGGCAGTTCAGAGTCAACCACATTGCTATGGTTCTGGAGTCACATGTAGGCCAGACCAGGTAAGGATGGCAGTTTCCTTCCTTAAAGGACATTAGTGAGCCAGATGGGTTTTTCCAACAATCAGCAATGGATTTACAGCCTTTGTTAGATTCTTAATTCCAGATATTTTTTATTGAATTCAAATTCCACCATCTGTCATGGCGGGATTTGAACCCGGGTCCCCGGGTTAATAGTCCAGCGATAATACCACTAGGCCATCAGCTTCTAGACAGAGATGACTGGTGGTGGTTTAACCTCAGGCCGAAGCGGGAGGTGGGGAGGGTGGGACATTCTCTTGGCCAACATTTACCCTTCAGCTCACACTCACCGAGACAGATTTGGTGTCTCTGAGGCTCCGCTCTGTGCATGTTGGACACCAGACTGAACCACAGAATAACAGGACTGTCTTACAAAGGTAATGACTGACTCCAGTTTGTTATCAGGGCTGACACTTCCGGGTAGTTTTTGTATATTATTAGAAGATCCTAGGGGCTTGGGACAGACGAGGCGAGGGCAAATTACTGATATTAATCACGTAGAAACAAAATACTGATAAAACAGGTCTTTTTCCATCAGGTCTCAGTCCTGGGTGATCTGATAACGAGGTCCTTATTCACAAACTATTGTTGGAGTAATTGGTCCACTTACTGTTGAAGCCACACCCAGGTGACCTGGTCAAACAGTTGCTGTTCCCTGTGTTCTGCCTACAGCTCCACATAGACAAACTGCTCACGCTCTGGGATGTCCTGAGAAACCTATGAGGTGCTGGTAGTGATTGTAACAAGGTCAGCCAGGTGGACCTTATAGAATATGAGTTCCCTGATTTGGGCAGTTATCCCGGGCCAAGCAGGGAGCCCTGGCTGACAGGAGTGAGGTTGTAGACTTGCTCGCTGAGCCGGTGGGTTTGGTTGCAAACGTTTTGTCACCCAGCGAGGGAACATGGTCAGTGCGCCTCTGGTGAAGCGTCAGTGTTCTGTCCCGCTCGTTATTTGTATGCCTCGCTTTGCTGGAGTGGTTGGCATCACTTCCAGTTCTGTTTCTCAGTGGCTTGTATATTGGGTCCAGTTCAATGTGTTTGTTTGATGGAGTTCCGGTTGGAATGCCAGGCCTCCAGGAATTCCCTGGCTTGTCTCTGTTTGGCTTCCCAAATGAAACATCTGCAATCAAACACACCGGCTCAGCGAGCAAGTCTACAATCTCATCCACAACCCGAGCTACAAATCTTCTCCAAAACTTTAGAAACAGGAGTGTCAGGGGTTCTGTTCACTCTGAGAGCAGGCTCTGAGGGGGTTGGGTCAGTGTCAAACACTCTCCACATGTAAATAAAGGGAGACTTGGTGACGGGATACTGGCTTCTGTGGAGTTAGTTCAGTGCTATATAAATGCAGGTAATTATGTTTGTGTGTGTGTGTGTGTGCGCGTGTGAGTGTGTGTGTGCGTGTGTGTGTGTGTAAAGACAACTGTGTGTGTTTGTGTCAATGTGTGTGTGTCAATGTGTGTGTGTTTGTGTGAGACAGTGTGTGTGTGTGTGTCAGTGTGTGTGAGAGTGTGAGTGTGTGTGAGAGAGTGTGTGTGTTTGTGTGTGTGTGAGAGAGTGTGTGTGTGTATCTCTGTGTGTGTGTGTGTGTGTGTATACCTGTGTGTGTGTGTGTGTGTGTGTACGTGTGTGAGAGTGTGTGTGTGTGTGTTGTGTGAGTGTATGTGTGCGTGTGTGTGTGAATGTGTGCATGAGTGTGTGAGTGTGTGTGCATGTGAGTGTGTGTGTGAGAGTGTGTGTGTGTGTGTGTGTGTGTGTGTGCGTGTGTGAGTGAGTGTTTGTGAGTGTGTGTGTGAGTGTGTGTGCGTGTGTGTGTGCGTGTGTGTACCTGTGTATGCGTGCATGTGCATGTATGGTGCGTGAATTCACATAATAACAAAAACAGGAGACTTACCTGAATCTAGAGTACAGAGGAGGGTGGAAATCAGCAGAGAAATGGAGGAGAGCGTATGGCAGAAGACAAAAGCAGAAGTGAGTATCACATGTCTCTTGTGAACTAGAAATATGAGCAAATGTAAGAGAGAGATTCATCAGAAACAGGAGCCACCGGTGATCATTCTGCTCACCCCACCCACTCCTCTACCAATCACAGATCTTAATCTATTTGCTCGCTGAGATCCCACTGCTCCCTCAGGTAAAGATCTGAACAGGTTTCTCACTCTCTGAGTGAAGACAGTCCAGGGCTTACCCTGAGACTGTGTGAACCCCCAAGTCCCAAGCTCTAGACTTCCAGGCAGGCGAACCAGCCCCTCAGCGTCTCCCCTGTCAAGCCCCTTCCAAACTTCATTTGTTCCAGAGATTACATCCCGTCTTCTGACATCCGGGCAATTGGGCCCCAGTCCATTCCATCTCCTCCCCCCATTCCCCCACCCCCAACAGGCCTGTCCCTTCATCCCTGGAACCTCTGTAACACTTCCTCTGGGACAGAAATGTCCTTCTGTAGGTAAGGAGACCCACACTGGACACAGTACTGCAGGCATGGTTTCATCTCAATAACTGCAGTAAATCGTAACATCACCTGCTTGGAACAAAGGCTAATGTACTACGTATTTTCCTCATGAGGTGTTAACTCACTGTGATACATTTCCGGTTGGACCACAGGGTCTGTTTCTGTGCTGTATGACTCTATGACACCCTGGTCCCTCTGAACGTAGCCATTTCCCAGTCTCCCATCACTTCCCCTTCCCAAGGAGTGGAACGTTTCACATGTTGGCCTATCGTAGTTCCATCAACCATCACCTCGCTCCCTCATTCAACTTCCCCTCTGCCACCGCTCATCACTCACTTTCTCAGCTAACTCTGTGTCAGCAGCAAGTTCAGATATCTCACTTCCCGTGTTTAAGTCATTACTGTAACGTGTCAAACAGCTAAAAGAAACAGCCACGTACTGACCCCTGCAGTGCTCTGATACCAAATGGGAAATATCCTGTTGTTTCTTTGCTATTTACCAATGCTCGACCTCCATGAAGGCATTACCTTTGAGCACAGGTACCCGATACAATAATACAATACAGCACAGGAACAGGCTCTTCGGTGCCCCCCCTCCCCAGAGGCTGCATAGCTTTCTAATCCTTATTTAGACCTGCTATTTATTGCCCATGTGCGGTTTCTACCCCTCTGTTCCCCTCCCATTCATGTGTCTACTGAGATATGCCTTAAACTTTGCTAACGTACCTGCTCCCATAACCTCCACTGGCAGTGTGTTCCACGCAGCCACCACTCTCTGTGTAAAACATTTTCCCCGCACATCTCCCCTAAACTTTCCCCCTCTCACCTTGAACCTGTACCCCCTTGTAATTGAAACTCCCACCCTGGGTAAAAGCCTCTGACTATCCACCCTGTCTGTATCTCTCATAATTATGTAGACCTCTACCAGGTCACCCCTCAGCCTCCATCTTTCCAGTGAAAACAATCTGAGTTTATCCAACCTCTCCTCATAACTAAAACCCTCCAGACCAGGCAACATTCTGGTAAACCTTCTCTGAACCCTCCCCAAAGCATCCACGTCCTTCTGGTAGTGTAGTGACCGGAATGGCATGTAATATTCTGAATGTGGCCTAACTAAAGTTTTATACAGCTATAATATAACCTGCCAACTTTTAGATTTGATGCCCAGGTCGATGAAGGTAAGTTTGCTGTGTGCCTTCTTGACCACTGTATCCACCTGTGTTGCCACTTTCAGGGATCTGTGGACCTGTACGCCCAGGCCCCTCTGTACGTCAAAGCTCCTAAACGTTCTGCCATTTATTGTATAATTCACACCTGAATTTGATCTTCCAAGATGCATCACTTTGCATTTCTCTGGATTAAACTCCATCTGCCATTTCTCTGCTCAAATCTGCAATCTATCCATATCCTGCTGTATCCTTTGACAGTACTCCTCGCTTTCTGCAGCTTCACCAATTTTGGTGTCAGCCACAAACTTACTAATCAAACCATCTACATGTTCCTCTAGATCACTTCTATACATTACAAACAACAAAGGTCCTAGCAATGATCCCACTGATCCCTGCGGAACATCACGAGTTACTGATCTCCATTCTGAAATTATGAGGAACCTTATTGAGTGTTTGTTGAAAATAATTGAATACACCGCACCCACAGTTTTTCTTCACCACCAGAATGATTAATTCCTCAGCAGGCTTGAACAGATTTAACAAAAATGATTTCCCTTTCATGAATCCACATCATTCAGTTCACAGAGTTAACAGAACTCGCAATATAGAACATAGGACTGTACAGCACAGGAACGGGCCCTTCGGCCCACAATGTTGTGCCGGACATGATGCCAAATGAATCTAATCCCTTCTGCCTGTCCTTAGCCCATATCCCTCCATTCCTTGCACATCCATGTGCTTATCTAAAAGCCCCTTAAATGCCCCTATTGTATCTGCCCCCCCCCCCCCCCCTGACAGTGCATTCCAGACCCCTACACCCTCTGTGTAAAAAATTTGCCCCTCACATCTCCTTTGAACTTTCCCCCTCTCACCTTAAACATGTGTCCCCTAGTTTTAGATAGGGCTGATAAAATTATAGACATTGAAAAGGATTCTGACCATCAACCCTATCTATGAATCTCATAATTTTATAGACTTCTATCAAGTGTCCCCTCAGCCTCTGCAGCTCCAGAGAAAAAACCCGAGTTTTACTAGCCTCTCCTTATAGCTCACATCCTCTAATCTGCGCAGTATCCTGATGAACCCATTCTGCACCCTCTCCAAAGCTTCCACATCCTTCCCGTAATGTGGTGACCAGAATTGAATGCAGTACTCTAAGTGTGACCTAACCAAAGTCTTATAAAGCTGCAACATGACATTCCTGTCTCTTGTGCTCAGTTACCTGACCAATAAAGGCAAGCATGCCATATGACAATGGGGACCCAGTGGATGTGGTGTACCTAGACTTCCAAAAGGCCTTTGACAAGGTGCCGCACAAGAGGCTACTGCATAAGATAAGGATGCATGGCGTTAAGGGTAAAGTATTAGCATGGACAGAGGATTGGTTGACTAACAGGAAGCAAAGACTGGAGATAAATGAGTGCTATTCTAGCTGGCAGTCAGTGACTAGTGGTGTGCCTCAGGGATCGGTGTTGGGACCGCAATTATTTACAATTTATATAGATGATTTGGAGTTGGGGACCACGTGTAGGGTGTCAAAGTTTGCAGATGACACTAAGATGAGTGGCAGAGCAAAGTGTGCAGAGGACTGTGAAACTTTGCAGAGGAACATAGAGACATTGAGTGAGTGGGCAAAGGTCTGGCAGATGGAATACAATGTAAATAAATGTGAAGTCATACATGTTGGTAGGAGTAATAGTAAAAAGGGTTATTACTTGAATGGTAAAAGTTGCAGCATGCTGCTATGCAGAAGGACCTGGGTGTCCTTGTGCCTGAATCACAGAAGGTAGGTTTGCAGGTACAACAAGTAATTAGGAAGGCAAATGGAATTTTGTCCTTCATTGCTAAAGGGATTGAGATTAAAAGCAGAGAGGTTATGTTGCAGCTGTACAAGGTGCTGGTGAGGCCACACCTGGAGTACTGTGTGCAGTTTTGGTCTCCTTACTTGAGAAAGGATGTACTGGCACTGGAGGGGGTACAAAGGAGGTTCACTAGGTTGATTCCGGAGTTGAGGGGGTTGGCTTATGAGGAGAGACTGAGTAGATTGGGATTATATTCATTGGAATTCAGAAGATTGAGGGGGGATCTTATAGAAACATATAAAATTATGAAGGGAATAGATAAGATAGAAGTAGAGAGGATGTTTCCACTGGCAGGTGAAGCTAGGACAAGAGGGCATAGCCTCAAGATTAGAGGGAGCAGATTTAGGCCTGAATTGAGAAGGAATTTCTTCACCCAGAGGGTTGTTAATCTATGGAATTCCTTGCCCAGTGAAGTAGTTGACGCTACTTCAGTAAATGTTTTTAAAGAAAAGGTAGATTTTTTTTGAACAATAAAGGAATTAAGGGATACGGTGAGAACGTGGGTAAGTGGATCTGACTCCACGAAAAGATCAGCCATGATCTTATTGAATGGCGGAGCAGGCTCGAAGGGCCAGACGGCCTACTCCTGCTCCTAGTTCTTATGTTCTTATATGCCTTCTTTACCACCTTATCTACTTGCACAGCCACTTTCAGGGAGCTGTGGACTTGAACCCCAAGGTCCTTATGTACATTAGTGCTATTCGGGGTCCTGCCATTAACTGTATACCTTTTCTTAACATTTGATCTCCCAAAGTGCAGCATCTACACTTACCCAGATTAAACTGCATCTGCCATTTCTCCGCCCATACCTGAAAGTGATCTCTATCCCTCTGTATGCTTTGATAATCTTCTACACTATCCAAAATTGTGTAGTGGCATCATCAGATGGGTGCAGGAAGTGTGTGTGTGTTACCTTTGTACACCTGGAAGGCATGGAGCAGGATGAAAGCCTCGGCAGCGTAGGACATTGATGTGCTGACCAGGGCAACAACGGAGCTCACGAGAGAGAACTCATGGAGCAGCAACAGTTCTGAAACAGGAAACTGATATCAGTTCATCTCCTCATAAACCACAAGGTATCCTTTTCAATTCGATGTTCCAGGAGGACAGTCACATGAACCACTGAACTTTAAAGCCCACCACGACAGATAGTGGAATTTAAATTCAATAAAGAATCAGGAATTAAGAGTCTAACAATGACCATGAATCCATTGTTAATTGTCGGGAGAAACCCATCTGGTTCACTAATGTCCTTCAGGGAAGGAAATTTCCATCCTTACCTGGCCTGGGCCTACATATGACTTCAGATCCACAGCAATGTGGTTGACTCTTAACTGCCCTCTGGGCAATTAGGGATGGGCAATAAATGCTGCCTGGCCAGTGACATAGAGTTATCAAGATGTACAGCATGGAAACAGATCCTATGGTCCATTCTGACCAAATACGCTAAATTAATCTAGTTCCATTTGCCAGCATTTGGCCCATATCCCTGTAAACTCTTCCCATTCATGTACCCTTCCAGATGTCTTTTAAATATGTTAATTTTCCCATGAGTGAATAAAATAAAAACCTTCCCTTGTTCTCACTCTCATTTCATGCTTGTTGTTTGAATGGAGATTGCAGCTCCACATTCCAGGGATATTTATTGCCCTCAAGAGATGCCAATGGAGGGAAATTGGCTATTCCCAGCCTGCCAATTAAGTGATTCTTTATCTTCCTTTCCTTCCAAGTGAGTTTTACACTACACAATCCAAATAGCACCCTGGGCTCCATATGGAGAAATTGGTCTTCATCTTTCTGATGCTTACATACCAATGTTTGGCAGGGGTGGGGGGGGGAGGGGAGCGGTGGTGGAGGGCGAGCCAGACCGACTGGAGCACAGATTTAAAAATATTCATTCACAGGTTGTGGGCATCGCTGGCTGGCCAGAATTCACTGCCCATCCCTAAGTACCCTGGCGAAGGAGGTGCTGAGCTGCTTTCTGCTGTCTATCCACAGACAGTGTCAGAAATACAGGTCCCTTTAAGGGTCAAACAGAGCAGCTTGGGAGCTGACTGAGAGGCAGAGAATCCCTCTTGCACTCTGTATTTACCAACTGGACTCTTCCCCAATTGGGTGTCAACTTCTGGAAAGGGAAAGGGTCCAGAAGGGAAGGTTAGAAGCTGGTAGTTTTTGCTAAACTATAGATTTACATTAAAACCCTTTCAAATTTCTGGCAGTCTTTTGCTCCTAATTCAATGTATTGATATTGGTCTGTTAAACAATTTTCACCCAGCAACACTGAAGGGACGGCAATATATTTCCAAGTCAGGATGGTGAGTGGCTCAGAGGGGAACTTGCAGGGGGCTGGTGTTCCCATGTATCTGCTGCCCCTTGTCCTTCTGGATGGAAGTGGGTCGTGGGTTTGGAAGGTGCTGCCTGAGGATCTTTGGTGAATTTCTGCAGAGCATCTTATAGATGGTACACACTGCTGCTACTGAGCGTCGGTGGTGGGGGGAGTGGGATGTTTGTGGATGTGGTGCCAATCAAGCGGGGGCTGCTTTGTCCTGGATGGTGTCGAGCTTCTTGAGCATTGTTGGAGCTGCCCCCATCCAGGGGCAAGTGGGGAGTATTCCCTCACACTCCTGACTTGTGCCTTGCAGACAGTGGGACAGGCTTTGGGGAGTCAGGAGGTGAGTTACTCACCACAGGATTCCCAGCCTCTGACCTGCTCTTGTAGCCGCTGTGTTTATGTGGGGAGTCCAGTTCAATTTTTGGTCAACGGTAATCACTGGTCATTGATAGTGGGGGATTCAGTGATGGTAACACCGTCAAGGGGTGATGATTCCATTCTCTCTTGTTGGAGATGGTCATTTTCTGATATTTGTGTGGCGCGAATGTTACTTGCCACTTGTCAGCGCAAGCCTGGATATTGTCCAGATCTTTTTACATTTGGACACGGACTGCTTCAGTATCTGAGGGGTCAGGAATGGTGCTGAACATTGTGCAATCATTGGCGAACATCCCCACAACAGTACATAGTTTTATCTTCCAGTGAAGAAGTCACAATGTTGCCTTCCCAGTCTCTGTCATACAGTTGGTGTATTTGTGTTCACGATAGGAATGTAACACTGCACTGGTCTCATACTAGATATTTTCCCCATTCTGTAATACTGGTCAGATGTCCCGTTAAATCCAAACTTTCTCTTTAAAGAACCAATACCTGTTTAATTAATAGGAAGGATGAAGAGTAATCTTGTGATCTTAGCTTCAGCCCTGCCGACTGTAATGTTATTGCAAATACTAACAGCCTTAGATACTGATTTAACCCTGGACCAATATCGGATCACAAGCTCCTGTCTGAAAGTCCTTTCCTAATGGCACTGGGCTGTATTTACACAATGGGGACTGTGGCACTTCAATTACACTGAGTTAGCAACAGGAGTAGGCCAGTCAGCCCCTTGAGCCTGCTCTGGCGTTTAATAAGATTGTAGTCGCTCTCTGCCCCGACATCCTTCTCAACACTCCCCAAATGCCCCACCCACCCCCTTACTGAGAATCTATCAGCAAGGCCCTTCTTCCCCTGCCTCTCTGGGAACCGAGTTCCAACTCTCCGAGACAAGAGATTTATGTATTAAGTGAGCAACTCTTGATTTTAAAACAGTGACCGCCTGGTTCCAGATACTCCTGTACCAGGAATCATCCTGTCCACACCTACAATGTCGAGACCTGTCAGGGACTTGTGTGTTTCACTCAAGTCATCTCTCATTCTTGTAAATTGCAGCAGGTACAAGCCAACCTTACCCTGTAACAGAACCCACTCAATTCCTTGTATTAGACTAGTAAGCCTTCTCCAGACTGTTTCTGATGCATTTACATCCTACTTCAATAAGGTGACCAATACTGTATTCCAGATGTGGTCTCAACAGTGAGGTGATGGCCTAGTGGTATTATCGCTGGACTGTTAATCCAGAGACTCAGATAACATTCTGGGGACCTAGGTTTGAATCCTGCCACAGCAGATGGTGGAATTTGAATTCAATAAATATCTGGAATTAAGAGTCTAACAATGACCATAAATTCATTGTCAATTGTTGGGGAAAAACCCATCTGGTTCACTAACGTCTTTTGGGGAAGGAAACTGCCATCCTTACCTGGTCTGGCCTACATGTAACTCCAGACCCACAGCAATGTGATTGACTCTGGGCAATTAGGGATGGGCAATAAATGCTGCCTGGCCAGTGATGCCCTTGTCCTGTGAATGACTAAAAAAAAAGTGCCCTGTATTACGGAAGCATCACCTCCCTTACTTTCTATTTGATTCCACTCAATAAATTATAGCATTCTATGAGCTTTCCCAACTACTTGCTGTACCTGCAGACTACCCTACTGGCAGTTAGGGACCATTTGACAATGCTTTAAAAGGTTATGTTGTCCTGGTGTTTTGTTTTGAAGAAAGGTTGAAGAGGCAGAGGTCCCAAACTGGCTACTGAAGACGGCTTAAACAAACCGCTTGTGAGGCCTTGGGTGTTATTTTTGTAAGTTGGAACAATGGAAACAGCGTGGGGGTGTGTGGTCAGCTCTCACAGATCCAGATTTCTGGGTTTTGGGGGTTTTTTTTAGTAGCAGCAAAGCAACTGGAGTCTGAATCGAATTGGAAGTTTCAGTGGACAATTCCTAGCTGCTACTTTCTCTGAATTTTCTGTTGATTTTTTTTTCCTCCTGGATTGGAGAACTGCATGTGAAAATTTGTATCTGAATTTGCCTTTTTGCCGAGGGGTGTGTTCACAGGATGTTACTATATTGGAACAGTTAATTAGTAATACATACTGTATCAATTGTTCGGTTAAGTTGTCCAATAGTTAAGTTATTCTAAATTCCTCTTTCTTTTGTTTGTATCTTAACTATAGTGTTTAAATAAATTGTGTTTTGCTTAATGTCGAGTAGTTTGACCAGTCGCATTCCATCTGGGACACTTTACATCTGCCCTTAAAATATCTCAAAGTTAGGGTCTAAGCTACCTTCTTAAAATATTTTTGAGGGGGTTTGGTCTGGTCCATAATAAATGACAATAAATGCTGGTCTATAAAGAGACACCCAAAATGAAAGAATCAAAATCATTTCTTAAGAAACTGAGATGTAATATGTGACATGTCTTAAAATCCCGACCACAGGTCCCAGGAACATGGACCAGGACCTACAGCGAGAACTTACCTTCTATGAGGAACAAGTGGGAGTTCCTGTTCTCACTGACTTTGTTTCTGACCACACAGGTATACAGCACACAGCTTGGAAGTTGTGGAGCATTTATAGTCAGAGTTTTGTTGTCAATGGACATCTCGTAGATGTAACCACCTTTAATGGGATACCCATTCTCGAACCACAGGATCTCATTAGCTTCCCCAGTCCTCACCACACAGCGCAGATGAACAAGACGGTTCAATTCAATGCGATCTTGAATTATCAAAGGCGGCTGCAAAATATCTGTTCAAAGTGAAAGGTCAAATAAAATGATTGGGTGATCTCAGTGTGTTAGCCCTTGGGATAGTGCTGAGTTGGTTGGTTCCTCTGTACCGGGGCATTGTGCCTGTACTGGGATTTGCTGCCAGGACACGCTGCAGCGAAATTCAGTAAAACTACTAACGTACCTAGATTGAAGGAGTTCACAGAAAACCAAAAGCCCATTTGGCTTATCGCATCTGTGCTAGTCAGGAAGCCGCCATCCTGTCTAAACGCACTTTCTAACTCTCAGCCTGTAACCCTATAGGTTATGGCTCTGAAACGGATGGTTTCGGCCTCTTCTCCTGTTATAAGCAGAGAGTTTCAGATCCCTACCAACCAGTGGGTGAAAAAACATTCAAATCCCTTCTAAACTTTCTACTAATTACTGTAATCCCTATACCCTTATTATTGGCCTCACTCGTAGAGTCACACAGCACGGAAACAGACCCTTCGGCCCAATCAGTCCATTCCGACCAAAATCCCAAACTAAACTAGTCTGACCTGCTTGCTCCTGGCCCCTATCCCTCCAAACCTTTCCCATTCATGTACTTATCCAAATATCTTTTAAGCATTGTAACTATACCCACATCCACCACTTCCTCAGGATGTTCATTCCACACACGAACCACTCTGTGTCTAAAATTTGCCCCTCGTGTCTTTTTTAAATCTTTCTCCACTCACCTTAAAAATGTTCCCCTAGTCTTGAAATCCCCCAACTTAGGGAAAAGACAACCATCATTAACTCTATCTATACCCCTCATTATTTTATAAACTTCTATAAGCTCACCTCTCAACCTCCTACACTCCAGTGATAAAAGTCCCAGCCTATCCAGCCTCACATTATAACTCAAACCTTCCATACCCGGCAACATCCTGGTAAATCTCTTCTGAAGCCTCTCCAGCTTGATAATATCCTTCCTATAACTGGGCGACCAGAACTGGCCCCAGTGCTCCAGTAGTTGCCTCACCAACATTCTGTACAACCTCAACATGATGTCCCAACTGCTATACTCAAAGGACTAAGCAATGAAGTAAATAGATCCTCCTTATCTCCTCTACCCAGCCCTGTCATAATTTTATAAGTTAGGACCTCTGTTCTGAAAGAACCAACTCCAGCCTATGCAATCTATCTGTTCTGCTAGTGGCCCTTGGCTAATAAAGGAACACAGCCTGTGTATACCTTCTGAAATATCTTATCTTCCTGTAATGCTCCGTTCAAGGGTGTGAGGATGTCCTCTCCAGAACCTCTCTGGTCCTTTACACTTCTCAAGGTGCCAGTGTTTTATCATGTGTTCCGTTACCCTGATCACAGCCCAAATGCATCACCCCTCAGCACTCGCCACCACCCCCGCTCCCCAGCCACCCCCACAGTTCTCCAGATTGAATTTCTTGCCCTTTTTCTGCCCATCTGACCACACTATCTTACAGTCTCACTCACAACCACACAGCCCAGCTTTGCATCTTGCAAACTTCCCACTCAGGTGCTCACATTTCAGTCTAAACATGAACATAAGAGAGAGAGGAGCAGGATTAGACCATTCCATTCCAACAAGCCTGCTCCACTATTCAACACGGCCACGGCTAATCCTCGACCAAACTTCACTTTACTGCTCCCTATTCCAGCCTTTGATATATTCCAGGATGGAGCATCTGCAACCCTGTGATGTAAGCAGTACCAACCAACTGAGCTGAACAAATTCTCCTAACCGTGGTTCAAAATGATCAACCTCTCATCCTGAGGCTATACTCCTTCTTCTAGATTTCTCAGCCAAGGAGAAACATCCTCTGAGCATCAACTTTGTCAAGCCCTTTAACAGCCTTGTATGTTTCAAGGAGATCACCTCTCATTCTTCTAAACTCCAGAGAGCAGAGGCTTCATTTACCAAGTCTCCAATCACATGGCAAAACTCTCATTCACAGATGGAAAGGCTGGAAAAAACTCAGGTTGTTTTCTCTGAAGCAGTGGAAGCTGAGGGGAGACTTGATAGAAGTCTATAAAATTATGAGATGCATAGATAGGGTTGACAGTCAGAATCTTCTTCCCCAGAGTGGAAATGTCTAAAACTATGGGGCATGCATTTAAGGTGAGGTGGGTGGGGGGAAGTTTAAAGAAGATGTGAGGGGCCAGCTTTTTTTTTTATACAGACAGTAGAAGTCTGGAACGTGCTGCCAGGGGTGGTGGTGGAGGCAGATATATAATAGGGGCATTTAAAGGGTTTGTAGATAAGCACATGAATATGCAAGGAATGGATGGATATGGACCAAGGGCAGGCAGAAGGGATTAGTTTCATTTGGCATCATGTTCGGCACAACATTGTGGGCTGAAGGGCCTGTTCCTGTGCTGTACTGTTTTATGTTCTAATATCATGTTTAGTTTAAGTTTGCACATTATTAATTCAGAATCAAGTTTTGCCACTTGTCCTATTGTTATAATAAAATGATTATTTGCTTGTTTGGCCAGAGATCAAACCCCACAGAACCCAGAGGTGTCACAAAGTTAAAGGTTTCCCAATTCACCTGCCTTTTAGCTCCAGGAAAGCATGGAGTGGGTTTCCTTACTCAATACAATTTACAACTTATTCCAGATAACTACACACTCACTACAGGTAAGCAGTTACCGACCATCGACATACAACTCTACGGGTTATAACTCTAATTTCTTATAAACCTTATAAAGGATTCTATTTTTGTAATTCAACACCAGAGATTCTCTGAACGATTCTACTGGGTTCAATCAATTCCTATTGATCTATGGTCTTGAGTCCATTAAAATTGATCAAGGGTAAGTTGTTTTGAATCAGAAAGATGAATCTTCAACGTTAGATTACAAGCCCAAGTTTCTACTGACTCACAAAATCAGTGTGCAAGGTAGCAGGGGAGCATTTAAATACTTCACAGACAAAACAAAACAAAAGCCTGAGCTGACAAATGATGCAGCAACCAGAACATCAGAAACAAGAGACACAGGGTTTGAGTTATTAGCCTGCCAAAGTGAGCCTCTGAGAGTAAGGTTCAGTAGGTCCACACAATATAATTAGGAGGAACTTTATCGTTATG